TGAGTGATTTACCCTGGTGAATGGTGAGCCCAGGCACAGGCCAGGTGTCCTGCCTCGGAGAACCAAGCTCCACGTCTTGGAGGATCAGGGTGGGTGGGGGCTGCTGAGACAAGAGGGCTGCAGAGATGAGCAGAGCTGAGTCCCTCCCCATCACCCACGTCCTCTGGCCTCATCATGATGCCAGCATGTTCCCATGGAAATCACTTCCCAAAGGCAGACTGTTCAGAAACACAGCAACAACAGCCTGGTTGGGTCCTTGCTCTTGTAAAACCTGTACTCTGTCCTTTAAAGGGGTCACAGTTTAACAGACAGGCCTTTTTATCTTAACAATTGTCTAATCAGGCTTTCATTTAAGTGGCATTTAATTAAACCACTGCTCCCTTATTTACTGTCTCCCTCTTTTCCCCCTAGTGCCACTCTGCCCACTGTGGGCAGCTGAACTTGGTCAGTGCCAAATTATGTTTTATTCTCAGCCTGAGAAAGAAATTACACAAGGTGTCAGGACTGGCCAACCAAAGGACCTGTCCTTCCAGTGTAATCTGAGGTTTCAAGTTGACATAGACACTGCTCCCTCCCAGCATTGTGTTTTTGTCCCGAGAAATCCCAGAAAGCAGAATTCTTGGGTGGACTAGAAAGGTACTATCCCACCAGAGCAGTGGTATTAATAGGAAACTGGTCAAAGGGTGCTGGAAATTTTGCAGAAAAATCACGGAAGACCAGTGCTAGGCTGCACACTGATAGCTCAGCTCTTTCTAGCATCCACAGCCACAGCCTGCTGTTTTCCCAGGTGGCTCTGAATGAGACATGGACATGTAGTGGGCCGCTTGTCACTGCCCCAGCTGCAGCAGCTGATGCCAACTGGTGCACACTGCCTGCAGAGGCCCACTTCTGCTCCATGCCTGGGTCCATGTCTCTGGGCTTCCTTGTGAATGAGATTGGGGAGAAGGTGCTCTCTTCTCTCTTCCTTCTCCTGAGTAGATGCTTAGATCCACTCTTCTGGGGTTGGAACCAACTCAGCCCCTTCCACCACAATCAAAGGTGCCCATGCACTGTATAATCCCTTCCAACCTATTTCACTTCAAGATATGGTCTTTTAGGCATGGGAACTCATCACAGGCATGCCCGTCTTAGTATCGCAGGTCATTCTGGTGGCAGTCATTGGACACACTGATGTGTTTTTCAGTGAGTGCTGGGCTGGACAATCATGTCACTCAGGTCCTAAGTTGGGTGCAGAGCTCTGTAGAGATGGTGCAAGGGAAGGAGCAAGGGCTTGTCTGCAGGAGAACACAAGGTAAGGGGACTTTTGTCCTCTTTGTGCCCAACTCAGTGCCACTATGAATAGAATAAACTGATGAGATGACTGGTAATAATCTTTTTGCCTTTGAAAGAGCAGCAAAATGAAGTTTGCCATCCAGAACTGAAATTATAGATATAAAATAAGCTTAAAAGAAACTCTACCTCCAGAATTATTTCAAGGGCATTTTACTGCAGATTTAGGTCATACATTTAGAACTACTTCCATCGATGAGGACTTAATCTAATAAGTTATAAGTGAATGAACTTGGGGACGTTATGTGCCTGTGTGACAGTCCCTTCACTAAGGGTAGCCTAACTAACTACTGACAACCCTGGTCTCATTTTCTCACTCTATGCATCCCTTCCCCACCTCCTTCCAGTTCCATCAAGTGTAAGGAAGCAGTGTCTGGCCCTCTGAGTTGGAGTTTTGCAAAACCCAAAAATAGACTCAGAGTGCACCCAGACATAATGATTCCATGCAGCAAGAAGGTCACTGTGTCTGCTTTTCCTGCCAACACACCCCTGGCTCTTAATCTATGGCTGCGTTGTGAAGCAAGAGAGCTGTGCCAGGAAATTACACTTTGTGACTGTGAAGCATTATGAGAATTTAAAATCATGTCAATGGGGTTTTATAAGGGCAGGCTAGGGGAGGGGGATTAGACACAGTTTAAGAAGACGGTTTTTGAACATCCTTTTGTTCTGTGGCCTGGGAGCTGCCACAATTCAGTTTTTTTAAAGGAGGAAAGGGAAAAAAGCTATCTGGCTCCAGCTACAAATCAGCTCCACCTTACCAACCCTGCCAAAGAGTAAAAAGACATCCACCCAAAAGGTTTACTGTGGTTACTGGAGTGGTGGGGTTATGAGTGAATTTTATAGTTTTCTTTGTGCTTTTCTATACTTTATGTAACATATACTTTCTCGCTTTTGCAATGTTAAAAAAAAAAAGGCAACAAATCCTATTTAAAAAGCCAAACTATACCAGCTAATGATCTGATTGTGATGCTCAGTACCTGGTGGTTGAGAAACCCAGCAGGGCCATGACAACGGCACGGAAACCCTGCCTCTGTCCCAGGTTAGGCCTCAGCCCAGGGCTGGTACCACAGCCCTCTCCCCACTGCCAGTTTCCATAGGGCTCTGGGAGAAACCAGACCACAGACCCTAAGAGGACTTGGGGCAGCCAAGAATGACAGGAAAGGGAGCATGCTGGAGGGGAGCCAGCCAGACACCTCAGCGGCAAGGAAAGGACTCTGTTCCCATCCAATTGTCTCTCATGGTCAGCCTTGCTCAACATGAGCTTGTCAGGAGGGACAGTGTCAGCTCAAGTTCATCTGGAAACACTGCGTTCTCATGCTAAGAATGTCCAGTTGATGCACACTGTTCTAGAAGTTGGGAAGATCCTTTTTTCCAGACCTATCGGAGTCAAGTAAAATGTAATAAATCGAGACAAATATCTGGAAGAAAAACAACCCTTTGAGGAATTCCAAAAATCTAGTTAGGGTGGGAGGTGGATTTATATAGACTTGGGGCCTTGATCACCCAGACAAGTTATTGATGTGAACTCAGTCTGTCAATCAATCCTGCCTCTGTCCTCTGAACCCAGGTCATGTCAAGCTGAGGAACTTGAGGTACAGGTAGAGCAGAAACAGTCCATATGGACTGTGAACCTGTGTCATCTTACCTTTAGGCATAAATAATTCCTCCTGCAAGTTTCTATAAAGGCCTCTATTCCTCACATGTCACCTGAAGACCTATTACTCGATGTAAGTGGGGAGGGGGGGAGGTTTCCTCATTCCAGTAGGTCTGAATGCATTGAACTTGAGGTCAAGTTCAAGCCCACACCACACAAATCAGGAACAGAATTCCCTGCAATCTGTATGTCAGGGAAGTAAGGCCCTTATTAAGAATAGATCATTTATAATAGACAATAGAGAACACATTCATCAGTTTCTTTTAGTCTTCTATGTGTCTATAATGATATCTGTGGATTTGGGGTAGTACACAAGCAAACAAACCCTCAATAGTAGGCAAAAAATATAAGTTCACCAAATAAATAATTTCATGAATAATGCTAAGACAAGGCTAAATTTGTTTTTTTTTTTATTGCAGTATAGTTGATATCTTGTATTGGTTCCAAATATACAACACAGTTGTTCAACAATTACCCATATTATTAAATCCTCACCCCCTTCAGTGTGGTTACTATCTATCCATGTAGAAAGATGGTACAGAATCATTGACTATACTCCATGCTGTACTACTATCCCCATGACCAACCTACATTATGATTGAGATTTTTTTGTGCCCCTTTATCCCCCTCAACCTTCCAAACAACCGACCCCGACCCCTCCCCCATGGCAACTACTAGTCACTTCTCAGTGTCTGTGAGTCTACTACTGTTTAGTTCATTCTGTTTTGCTATTCATTTATATTCCACGAATAAGTGAAATCATATGATATTTGTCTTCTCTGCTAGGCTTATTTCACTGAGCATAATACCCTCAAGATCCATCCATGTTGTTTCAAATGGCAGGATTTTTTTAAATGGCTGAATAATATGCCCTTGTGTATATGTACCACCTCTTCTTTATCCATTCATCTGTTGATGGACACTTAGGTTGCTTCCATATCTTGGCTATTCTAAATAATGCAGTGATAAACATAGGGATGCATGTATCTTTTTGAATCAGGGATTTTCTGTGGATAAATTCCTAAAAGTGGAATTACTGGGTCAAATCGTATTTCTAGATTTTTGAGGAACCTCCATACTGCTTTCTACAGTGGTTGTACCAATTTACATTCCCACCAACAGTGAAGGAGGGTTTCCATGTCTCCACATCCTCACCAACATGTGTTATTTCTTGTCTTTTGGATAGTGTCCATCCTAACTGGTATAAGGTGATATCTCATTGTGGTTTTGATTTGCATTTCTCTGATGATTAGTGATGTGAGCATCTCTTCATGTGCCTGTTGGCCCTCTGTATTTCTTCTTTGAAGAAATGTCTGTTCAGGACCTCCGCCCATTTTTTAATCAAACTATTTGTTTTTTTGGTATTGAGGTGTATGAGTTCTTTATATAGGTTAAGTTTTTAAAGGAAGTTAATTTTCAAGTTTTAATAAGTAATTGTATTATTGAACATAGATATGGTAAAAGTCCATAAGTGGTACATTAATTGAATGATTCATGTTTGGCAAATATTGTTCTATAAGGTACTACTTGACCAAATTCTTTTTTTACCTTCCTTCTTTCTTCTCTGACATGTTTTTTTAATCTTAACCTCTCAGAATGAAGCTGAATGTGTAATAAATTGCTTACAAGAAAAAAAGAGTTGCAAATTGTTTTAATAATAATCCTAGTAACTTTGAAAGAGCATCAACAAGGACTTACTGCTTCCCTGGCACAGAGCAGGAGAGCTGCTTATCTTCTCTTCAGATCTGGCTTCGGAGCCATCACTCCCTCCCCTCTCCCAGAGCAGGGATCCTAAATGTTTATGTACACCGACACTGTCTTGCTTGTAACCATGTCCGCTGTTCCTCCTGAGCTGTGCGTGTGTGCACGCGCACTTACTAAATGGTAACAATGTGCCGCATCTAGGCTACCCCCGTTATTTATATTAAATAATGCCATGATAATGTTGGTGGCCTGTAATTCTCCATTTTCTATTAACCACGCTGCCCAAGTAAACTGTTTTTCTGATCTCTCTTAGATGGAAATCCTATATGAATGTGGAAGCCATTAGCAGAGTAATTGCTGTCTGTTACCATGACAACAAGCCGCTGCAGTCACCTGCCCGAAGTGCTGCCAGACTGCACAAGCTCCGCTGCGCCCGTGGTGAAAACGGTGGAGGAGTGCAGCGGCCTAGCGAATGGACAGCCGCAGTATGTCATGCAAGTGTCGGCCAAGGACGGGCAGCTGCTGTCAACAGTAGTGCGGACCCTTGCCACCCAGAGGTAGTGCCGCAATTAAAATTAATGCATCTGTAATTGATCCGGAGGACTCTCTGTCAGATGGAAAATGCTAAAGGGAATGCAATTAGTGCCAGGTCTTTGTGTCAGGTGAGAGGAGGTGCTGGGGGTAAAAAACTATACAACTTCCATCACCGTTTCTATAGCAATGTGGCATAAAGGTAGAATTCATGTTGTTAAATTTTCTGCTTAAAGTCACACTTGCAGAGAGCCAGGCAGGGAAGGATCCCACAAGACCAGGGTTGCTTGCTTTACATTTGTTATTTTGGTGTTGCTATGGTAATTACACTCTTATTGTCTCCAGGCACTAGCAAAGGTAACCCTTCATGAATAGAATGAAGGAGGCACCTGATTTCAGGTGACTGGGTCAAAGTGATCAGATGTGTGGGCAGAACTTCTGAAGTGACTCTCCTGGTAGCACGCTCATCAGCACAACCTGATGGGAGCACTGTCCTGGCCACTTCCTGGCTGAGTCTCTTCTCTGGCCCATCCCCATTTGAGGACCTCTTCTTTTGGCTCCTCCTTCACTCTCCAGGAGCCCCCCACATGGTCCTTCATACACCCCTACCCTATGACATACTCCTGGCACACCCCCAGAGCTCATCTCTCCTGCATGATGAACTACAGCAAGGCCAAAGGCTCTGAATGGCCCAGACACAGCTTATCCAGGTGGCACTTTGTCCCTGGAGGTCTCTGTGTGCTACTGCGGCCAGTGGCAGACTGAGAGCTCCAAATACAGGCTGCCCGGCCAGCAGGTGCTCTTTGGCCTCCCCAGCTGTCTTTCAGAGTGGGCAAGTGGGACTTTGACCTATGACTGGAAGATGTATATCCACACTGGACATGCCCCCTGATATCCTCATTGACACATGTGGTCCTGAAACTTTGGGTCAACTTACACCTTGACCACTTACCTTGGTCTGAGTAATTCAGCTCATTCACTCCTGCAGGCACAGGCCTACATGCACCTGCTGCAGGGTGACTGTTGCTGCTGAAGGTGCTGTCAGCACCAAAGCATTTTCCATCGCCCCCAGCCTGGAGGTGACAGCCAGACATAGACTCCTACCCCGTGCATCTCATAAACACTGTCCTTCTGCTTCCAGGCTGCGTGGGTGGCTATTGCAGAGGAAAGAAACAGAAAAATAAGTCAATATATATTTTTCCACCTCCTGAAAAGTTTCTAACAGTTGGTCAGGACTCAGAGTACAACGAGGCAGTGAGCGTCATTGCTCATCTGTGACCTAATACTGGTAACTGCCTGTGTCCGTGTCACTCTTGCAGCCATAGAAAACCTCATTTGATCAAGCTGAAATGACTGAGATTTGTGAACCAGTGTGTGTGTGTGTGTGTGTGTGTGTGTGTGTGTCTGAGTGTGTGTGTGAGAGAGAGAGAGACATTTTTATGTGTTCTCCTACCACACAGTAATGTAAGCCAGGTTTCAGGATTTGACACACATTTGGCTCAATGTGAATGAAGGCGGTCAGGAATAATGATAGAAAGAAATCAACTCTTTAAACTTTCTCCTTCTGCCACTAAGCACAAGTGCCTCTTCTGGGCAAGTGAGAAGGACACCCTTTCCTCTGCTAATCCCCTTTTGCTCTTTACTAATTCCCAGGATCATCCCCAGAGCGGCCTTTGGAAAACAGTAGTGTTTGCATGATTGTTTCCATTTGGACCAAAGATGGTGTCAAAGAGAGTGATAAACCAGGGTCACTGTCATCTTGGGGGGGGCAGGAAGAGGCATGGAGAAAGAGGCTGGCCTTCATGTTGGCACATAAAAGGATGACACACTTTAAAATCTAATGCCGGATGAAGGACAGCACAGGCAACAGAAGAAGGTGTCGGTCAGAGAGGGATGGTCCTCTCACAGGACATAGGGCAGCATCCCCGGAGAAGGGAGACCATCTCAGTTTGAGCCTCCTCTCAGGACCTGACTTGTGTGATGAGGGCCATGTTGCTTGCTTTTCCCAGACCTGAGTTTTTCAACGAGTGAAAATTTTTAGCATTAACCAGGCATTTACTTCGTGCTGGTCTGGATTCTAAGCATCGGACCTGGACTGTCTTTCCTCATCCTCACAGTAAACATATGAGGAAGGCACCATTCTTTGCACCCATTTTAGATATGAGGAATCTAAAGTACAGAGAGGTGATGTTTCTTGTCCAAAGTTAGCCAGCTTGTAAGCAGCAAAGCTGGGGTTTGAGCCCAGGCAGCTGGACTCCAGAGCCTGCCTCACAGATCACTACATTATCTACCTCCACGAAACAGGCAGGGCTGGGTTTTCCAAACTGAAGGTAGAATTCAAGAGCTCTAGGCTAAGGCCACTCATAGCTCACTTTCAATGTAGCATCCTTAGCATCCCAGAGAGTATCGTAGGGAAGCTCAAAAGACCGACCTGCCACTCAGCCTCATGCTCTGGCTCAGGCTCAGTTGTGTGTGGCGATTTCAGGGTTGCCTGCCAGTTAACTTCCCTCTGCTCAATTCTCCCACCCTCATAAAGGAGAAACAAAAGGAACCTATGGGTAGTCGAGTGTCCTGACCCAGTTCAAAAGACAGTCTATCTAGAAACTACAGTTGGTATCATTTCAAAACAACTTCTGTTCTTTATGGTGAGCGATGTTTTTTTATTTTTTTGATTAGTAGTTTGCCTGAACTACACCTATGTCCAAGGCAAAAACAGCATTTTCACTCACCTTTTGGCCCTGGACCACACCCAGCTGCTTTGATATTGGCCACCACCACCCCCCCTTTCTTTGTATGGCAAAAGCAAGTGCCAGCACTGGCCTCCACTGCTGAGTGCCAGTGTAGATCATGGGTTTTAAAGAAGGTGTCTATTCTGAGCAACTGCCCAGGGGCAAAGGACACAGAGCCTGAGAACCATCCGCATGGTGGTGGTTCCAGCCCTGTGACCCTCCTTCTCTTGCAGCCCCTTCAATGACCGGCCGATGTGCAGGATCTGTCATGAAGGCAGCAGCCAAGAGGACTTGCTCTCTCCCTGTGAATGTACGGGGACCTTGGGGACAATTCATCGGAGCTGCCTGGAGCACTGGCTGTCGTCCTCAAACACCAGCTACTGTGAACTCTGCCACTTCAGGTTTGCGGTGGAGCGCAAACCCAGGCCGTTGGTGGAGGTCAGTAATTGGGGCAGGTCCTGAAAACTTAGCTCTAATGAACAAATGATGTCTGCTTTTATGCCCAGATCACAAACCCACTGCAGCTTCACTGAAGCACAGTAATAGCACTGTGTGTGTGTGTGTGTGTGTGTGTGTGTGTGTGTGTGTGTGTGCATGTGCACACCATGTGTGTGTGTGTATGTGGCAAAGACAGAGACAACTCAATAGCTCACTCAGGAGCTGGCAGTAGAAAGGTGACCTCCACAAGGTGGAGACAAGAGAGTAGAAGGAATCAGTATGAGGAGAAAGGGGAAGTTTACAGACTTGCTCTCCATTTCTCCACCGCCACGAAGCAGAACAGACAGATGAAACACTTTTTCATTGCTCACCATGTGGCCACTTTGAATCAACAGATAAATGGTATTTGGCATTTTGGTTGCACATTCTGAAAGGTCTTCATGGAAAAATCTAAGTGCACAGTATAATGGATACTATGCTGTAAGACTCAGACTTCCTGGGATTGAATAGCTCCATGACCCTAGGTAAGCTACTTCACATTTGGAATTACTTACTATGAGGTTTAAATGAGTCAATATTTATAAAGCACTTAGAACACCAGGTACCTATGCAGGTGTTTGAATAAAAAAAATCTCTCCTAGGAAATTATATGCAAGCTTTTTTCAGCTAATAATCTAGTACTGGAGTCTCTTTTCTTAAAATGCAGTCCTATCAACCCAGCAATGAAAATGTCAGGCATTCTCTTTCCTATTTTAGGAGCCACATAATTCTTCTTTAGGCTGAGGGTCTGGTCTTGTATGAGCTGAGGGAATTGGAAAATACATTAGACTATTTTGCCCTCTCACCTACCCTCAATTTCTATTTCTACTAGCCAATTAAAAATTGGATATTGGCAACAGTAAATACTCTAATATATAATAAGCAAGACTAACTGAAAGAGACCAAGACATTGTGCCTATAATCCAGACCTGCTGATAACCTCCGCCTTATTTCAACAGCTGACCCAGAGAAACTTTGACATTAAACCAGAGCTAGAAAACCAAGAAGCCCTTTCTAGAGACTATTTAATTTAAAACAGTGTATTAGTGCCTCAGCATTTAAGGCTCTGGAGAGCTCTGTAGTACATTCTCTTGGGTTTGACCTTGACAATTTACTCAGGACCTGTAACTGGGGCCTGTTTTAGCTATGACTGGCTTGCCAAATGGCACAAAAAATATTAGACTTGACCCAATATACCCTATGCTTTTTTAAAGACTGTGGATCAAGTGACTTCTTAATTTAGCTGTCTTGCTGCTTGACAATCCACTTTAGAAATTCATATTTGTAGAGTGCCCATCAGGGGTCTGGCCCTATGCCACTTTCCCTGGGATTTACACTTCAGAACTTCACTGCAGAGGGAGAAATATAATTAAATAATAAACAAAGGAGATGAAGATTGCTCGAGTTCAATGGCAAAAGTTACAAAGAAGCCTATTTCTCCTTTCCAGAAACATTTTGAGACCTGCCAAACTTGATATTGCAGCTTCTCCAGGGAAGCTGGTTTCCCAGAGTAAGAAAATCCTGCTTTCAATGGACTTCCTCCAGGGGTCTTCTTTACTAGGATCCCTAGTAAAGAAAAACCTTTACTTTTGCTTAGTAAACCTCCCAGTGTGTATCTGACTAATGTACAACAAAGGAGGGCGTGAGTACATGCACCTTAGTTTTCCCAGATCACCCACATGTGTCAGACCAGCCCGTGACCTCTCCAGTCTCAGAGAGGGAAACATGTACCCACAACCCAGAGGCTTCTTGCAAGTTGCCTAGGCTGGGCGGCAGACAGACTCCAGGATTGTAGGCAGCAGTCATTAAACGAGGAGATGAGGCAAATGACCTTGAGAATGTGTGAGATGCTCTCCAAGATTTAGGGCCTCGCCTACAAGAACTTCACCCAAACCGCCACGGGTGGTGAAATGTTCATTGCACAAATGGAATGTGACATTTTTCAGAGTTAATGAGGATTGAACAAGTTGAAAGGGAAAGGCAAACCTTCTCCCACCAGCCGTTTGATCACCCCATGGCAAAGTGAACTTGCTGTTTGACCACAAGCAGTAAAAAGAGGCTGCCTTTGGTTTCTCAGCTGGACAACAAATGAGAACCAGGTGCGGGCACATTTTTAAACAAACAACATTACTAATTGACTTTTCTCCTCCTACCAAAGGGCAGGTTTTTTCATAGGGAGCATGGCGATCTTAACACTGTTATCTCCAGATAAACATGAATCTTTTGAGTAAATCAGCAAGACGTGCCTCTTTGGGCTAAGCATCAGGAGTATTGCTACTTTATTTTTCATTTTCACTCTTCATTGCTTTAATCATTACTTTATTTACCAGTTGGATCTGCCTTCTCATTAAAGCAAGAAAATTCCATAACATTTAATTTCAAAATCAATGAGATAATAACGGCTTCTGTTGCTAGAGGAAGCAGTTGAAAAAGCCATTTATAAATTTTATTTGTCAGCATCCAGACATTAGCATTGGTTGGAATTACCTTACCACTCCAGTAAACTCTCAGTGTCCTTCATTCAACATGCCCCTAGTCCTCCGGAGCAGCACTGCGCCCAAGACACCTCACTTCCGGTCCTATCCTCTGCAGCCAGCTGATGCATGTTCATCTTTAGTAGATCAGAAGCCCTGGGCTGTTGTCCATGAGTTTCTCCTCATAAGGGCCGAATCAATGGGCTGGTTTTTATTAGCACCTCCGAGCTGAGCATCACCTTCCCCTTCTCTGAGCTGCAGTATGGAGGAGGGTGAGCTGGGGCTTCTCCATGATGGCCTTGGCCTGCATAAAGCTTAAGTTCATGTGCAAAAAATTCATTCTACACTTAAGATGTTATGTAATTCATACCTCAGTAAGGGGTGCATGTGCATTTGTGTGTGTGTGTGTGTATCTACTTACCTACCTCCATGGCCAGACTAAATCTTTTAGTCTCTTTTGGTAATTTCATCACCAATTTTATACCCTAAATATTTTCCTGTTGCTAAGTAAGCCAGCAAAAGGAGCACTACTTCCAACCCAAAAGAGCTACACTGTGATCATCTGGTTTATTCTGATGTGGGTCAATTTCCTCTTTAGTCAGCTAATACAAACCTCATAAGGTCTGTGTCCAGTCAGGCACAGCTGGAGAGGAAAGCATGCAAACTGCAGGCAGCAAGAAGGAAGAACCGAGGTAACACTCACGCATCTCATGCCTCCACAGCAGTGCTTCTCTCCTGAAGGTTCCATATTTTTTGTTGATGACCAAAAATGTACCCAGTGGCAGTTTGTCAGATGAATTATCCCCAGGAATAATGACCTGGTAGAACACAGTAAATAGACATCCAGTAACCATAAAAGGATTCACTGAATGACCGGCCTGGGTGGTTTTATAGTCTCCTTCCTGCTCATTTTTAGTTTTCATTTTTCTCTATAAATTAAACTCTCCTACCATTCTTTTGTAACAACGGTAACATACAGAAATCCAATAAAAATACTATGACTTGTTCCCCAAAAATGCGTGCCTTGACTCCAGCCCCCTAAAGTGATTGCTCATCTTACTATGTGCAAATAGCATGCTTGCAACATCACTTTCTAGGGGGAGGATATCTGCTGCCAACTTTCGTAAGACATGTATCAGAAACACCCACCCATGCCAGGAAACATGCAGGCGTAGGTCAGCTCGAAATGCCATGATTAAAATGAAACAGCCAGGATATGGTGGAAATCTGGGAGGAAAGGCTTTAGGATCAGGGAGAGACAATGATGAACTTTCTGTATTCCTCTTTCCTTTACACAGACCCAGTTGATTGATAAGAATTGTATGAACAATTTAAGAGCTGCTCCCTGTGAGTCAGAGGTTTAGCTAAATTGAAACAGTGTTTTCACACATATCAGTTACTCAGAATAATGGGATATAAAGCTAAGGAGTTGAGAATTAAGGGGTTTTTTTCCCCTAACTTTTTATTTATGACATTTTTTAAGTCACTGGAGGAAAATGGTTCTAAAGGGTGCCCTGGATTCCATGTAATCTGAATTACACAGCAGGAAGCAGAGTTGAACTGCTGTGGAGAAACCACCTTGTTCCTTGGCACTTGCTATTTTATAGATTTAAGACCTCACTTAAACCCTCCTAATATGTGTGTATCAGACTTAGGTAAGGACATTAATTCTTATCCTAGTAGGTTTGGTTTCATTTTGATTTTTAGTATCGTCATTTAAGTAAAAACCTGTTTGTGGTGTAGGAGGATCATTTTCACCAGCAAACCCATTCCATGAATTCAGGAGGGCAGGCAGTCTCCCCTACTCATTCCAACTAGCAAGCACAGCCCAGGCGGTCAGGTGGCTGGACCATAATCACAGCGTGCGAGACGCAAGCAAGAAGCAGCTGCTCATTAAGTAAATGGATGAATGGAGAGCCTGTCCCCCGATGGCAGACCATACATCGTATTTTTGGCCTATCATTGTAAATCAGAGAAACTGACTCCTGCCCTTACAGTTGACAGAGGCAGTCGGACAAGGGCTTCTATGACAGCCTAGCAACACAGCCTTGAGCAACGCAAGTGGAATGATTCTGGCCATTCCTGGCTCCCACCCAGTCCTCAGTCCTCCGTCAGGATTTGAGGAGTGGCAGATGGCTGGAGCCCTGTTGTTTTGCCAGTGGGTTTCAGCCCCTGACAAGTTCACTCTGGATTCAGTGTGACCAAAGAAATTGACAGTAAAACGTTCTTAGGGTGAAAGGGTTATACCCAACTTTATTTCCAGGTGGCAGGTCAGTCACTAGAATCCCATTCACTCGGAGCAAGTCTGTCTGCAGCAAGCCAGTCTCTGCCTCTGGGCCCCTCTGTCCGCACAGCTGTCCCACACAGCCATGCTCTGGGCCTCTGTCCTCGGCTCTGCTCTCCTGCAGCCTTGCAGCCCTGCCACCATGCCCAGAGCACTGAGAGGAGCTCTTTATATAGAGTCAACAGCCATGTATTGCCCACAGG